GAGCATGTGAGAAGGCTGCCAGATCCACAATGGGAACGCCTTTTTTCTATACATAAATTGTTTGGGTATTATCTGAGACGCAAGTCGAAGTTGAGGGACACTTGAGGACATTTGTATTTCATTTGAAAACATGCTGGAAAAAAACATCTCTTGAAACTTGAGAGAGTCATTTTGATGGTGTTCCAGCGCAATCCCCCACATCTGTACGGACTGCTACATGTATTCTTGATTGTTGGTTCTTGCTCCTTCTGTGTGAACACTTACAATTTTGTATATGTATGGGTAATTAAGAGAAAGTACTAATATTTGTCAGAGATGATTCTGAAACTGGAGGCAGAGATGCTAAACAAAAGGAACTTTTAGGGAGATTTACCTTGAAGCTTTTCCATCTTTTAAGAGACTGAAAAAAAGGCCTGTTCTTCAGCCATTAAAGCAGTATAGGTTCATCTCTGGTATTAGTGTCATAGAGCTTCGTATTTCCAGCTAATATTCTTCCTGTCTGCTTTGTTGTGGAGACTTCTGGGACTTGGGATTTAATTAAAATATCTTGGAAACTGAATTTTGAGTCTTTATGAGGTCTGCCCTTGCAATTATAGAACTCTTGATTGTTGAAAATCCATCCATGCTGTTTAAAAGAAAGAATAAGTAGTCTTTTAACTGGCCTGACATAGTAATTGGGTACACCATAAAGCATGTCTGATTTATGTAATAATTTTAATGACATATTATCTGATCTGTATTTCTTTCCAAGCTGCCGGATCAAATCCACGTATTCTTTATAGCTGCACTGTTTTGCAATGACTAAAGTAAGTCTGATATTCAAAGCAAACAGATGAGGAAAAGAAAATCAAACATAAGCATGCATTGAAGTTTAACTGGTCATATCCTTTTGAGTGTAGTCTTTGACAGCAGGTTTGAAAAGGGTAGTATGAAACTTTTATGTTTAATCGTTTTAGTTCACCGAGATTTAATAGATAATACGCTGGTATTGTGTTACTTTCTGATACAGGGTACCATGCTAATCTGGACAGTGATTTGGATTAGATTTTAATTGTTTGGGGAAATTGAGAATAAATCAGTCTGAAACTTTCTTGACAGTAATGCTGTACAGACCTGGTCAATAAGCCTGTGTTTTGTACAGTGCCTCATGCAAGATAGATCCCTCACTTCAGTATCAAACTGAATTACTGTAAATTATTCCTTGTATGTTATTGTGGTGTTACACTGTGATTGGAAGAGCTGATTTTCAGTTGAAAGAAGGATGCAGAACATTGATCCATATAGAAATATTGGTATTGCATTACTATAAAAAAATCAGAAGTTGCTTTCCTGTGGGGATCATACCACTGTTTACTAATACGAGCTTTAGTCCTCAGCACTTAAAGGAGGAAAGTCAGTTTTCCTGTTTCTATTTATGAAATAATTAAAAGAGCTTTGGGGCTTTTGTATTATATGGAAAAATAAGAAAACTATGATATAATACTGTATTAATTTGAGGCTTTTCAATTAAAGTTGGTATTATTTTTTTGGTGAGTGAATGATATGAAATGGAAGTACATAACTAAGAAGATTGCAAAGGAAAATTTAAGTATTTCTTAAAGTGTATAAAAGATTGTCTGTTGGCCATGATTATGCTGAACCTCTAGGTTCTTCTAGGAAACCAGGGAATCATCAGTGAAAAAACAGTAAGCCATGAAAAAGCCCTAAGCAATTTTTTTGAGTGATCATTTACAAATGTGTAACCTTCTTCTGCTTAGAAAGAAATTAAAATAAGTGTCTCTGAGGGGAATGGGGATGAAAATTGTAATACAAAAGTTTAAGAAGTTCTTAGAGAAGCTATCGGGACATTCTTTCTGAAAATAAATTAGCATTTAGAAGATTTAACCTATAAAATTCTCATGAGTTCTGTAAAATTAAACATATCCTAATACCAGCATTCAGACACCACAATACCTGAATTAGCATATTGAGTTTTATTTTGCATAAAATTATTTTGCTCCAATCATTTATTTTTTAATTAAGAAGTTTTGTAACAACCCATCAAACCATGTTTGAAGCCACATCGTTAAGCTGCTAACATTTGATGCAACAAACTCTTGAGTATTTATCATCCAAACTGATGCCTAAAGTAAATTATAGTATAAACATTTCCATTCCTTTAAGTATCGCCTCTGGGACAGCTTTAAATGTGGCAGATAGCTCAAAAGTACAAACCAATGTTGCAGAACAGTTCAAAAAGTGTACATATTTGAAAATCTTAGGAGAATGTAGGTAGATAGCCTGTAATTATTCTAAACTGGAATTTGTGGTAGGCACTGGAATTTATGGCCCCATTGTTAAATATTGTGTGAGCGTTAAGTGTTGACTGATTGATTTTACAGCCGCTCTGAATGATAAAGTATCAACCCATAACTCCTCTTAAATCAATTCCCAACACGTACAAGTACGGTATTAAATAAAGGAGAGTGCTGGTTTTGTTGGGTGCAACAGTCGACAGCTCACTCTTCTCCAGTACGATTGCCACCTGCATCCTTGTTGGCCTTTCTTCTTTCAATTGTAAGTTCTCAGTCTTGCTTAAGAAAGGAGACAGAAGCGTTTCCTCTCAGATATTCCATGTTCAGTTTTGCTGTTTACATAAGCTAGAATTTTAATAAATCTGTTCCATGTTCGTTACTTAAAAGGCTTTTGGTAGTACTTAATGTTTTTGCAGTTCTTTATACTTTGACCTCTCTGCAGGGAAAGTTCCGTGTTCTACTTCAGGATTCCTACAAAAGTTTTTGAAAAGTGTCTTGTGGAGCAGGTCATTGTTTATGAAGTGGTGGAGATTTACTAATCAGATTTACTAATACCGGAGGTGTTCTTTTCAAATGGTTGCAGTCATTTCAGGTGGAATTTTTAATGATGTCCTTTGTAAGTGAAGTCTCAGAAGCACAGACTTAAGTATGATGATATTGCAGAATATGATTGTAGTATTGTAGTATTTGATGCTATACAATACTTACCTATGAGAAAGTAACAACAGAGAAACTTAACTGTCTGAAGTAGAATTGGCGGGGGGGTGGGTGCAGACACGTGTCTGTGCATTTATAATATAATGCATGTAAATTCAATGGTGGGCTATAAGAATGCCTTCCAAAAAACATAATTAGTACCTTGTTTACAAGTATTGGGAACATGTCAATTACAAATATATAGATACTGCTGACAGATGTTGTTCTTAATGCTAAACTTTAAATGCACTAGTATAGTGCCAAAAGTTAGCTTTTAATTGTGCAGTATTTCAAATGAATGATCCTGGATTTTTTCCTTTTTCATGTCAACAATAAAAGAGCAACCCGGTACAAAAAGAATGAGAATGCAAATTTAGAGGAAGCTAGATTTACAAAAGATCAAAGACAGTTTCTGTTATTGTAAAGTCTTTGTGGTAATGTTCTGGTTGAGATTGGAAAGTACCCTTGCTTATAAAGTATAATTGTTGCTTGCTTTTAAAATGCCCTTTGTTGTGTGGTTTATGGAATTGGAGCCTGAGCCTGGATATCTGGATTAGGAAAAACTAAAGCTGACATGAAGTTTCTAAACCACTAGTGCATCCTGATACTGACAACTGTTCTTCACAACCATCTCAGAGTACCTGCTTTTAAATGTAAGAATTTTAACCAGGTTAGTTGGGAGAAGGAGCAGTGTTTTTTTTCTTATTGCATCACCACCTTTCAGTGCGCAGCTGTACTAACAGGAGAACTGGAGAAAACATGAATTTGCATTAGATATTTCACTGTCAGCAAGAAGAGGATATTGTGTTGCCAGCAGAGCTGTCTTTGGCTTGGAACGGTCTGATCATAGAGATTGTTCTGAAAGTAGTACCCTAAATGTTCTCAGAATAGGAACTTTGTAAATAAGAGCATTGAAAACAAACTTGAAAGAGAGTGGAGACGTATGCCAGGGGAGAAAAAGAAATCATGTTCTCCACAGAATGGGAGGGGGCACAGAAATGATTGCAGAAGTACATGGAAGAAATACTTACAGTCCCACATGGGATGGGAGCAGGGCAGTGACTGGAATGAGGTTAGAATTATGGGCTGATTTCTTTTGAACCTTGAAAGAGATGAGAAAGAAACTTGGGTTTAAGGCAAAAGATTACAGGAAGATAGGAGAGGTGGGAAGGAGCACTAGAATGACAAAAAAAAATCCAAAACACACTTTACGGTAAAAAAAAAGTGGGAAAAACATGAATTATAGCACAGGATAAAGTTAACCTAGTTGAGGAAATGATAGCAGAGACTAAGTTGAGCTCTAAAAGGGAAGAAAAAAAAATACAAGTTGACAGTATTCTGAAAACGGAGAGGAGCAGACCTTGTCATCCTTGGAACCTTTGCGCTCGTTAAATATGTCATATTTATGAAATGATTGAAATTGATTTGATGTGGCCCTTTTGGAAAACTTAGGAGACTGCATAAGCAACTGCATGGTCTCTGCAGAGAACTAGAGAGATCCGTGTTTGTCCTTAAAATGCTGTCTCCTGGTTTTGTGCTTTCCTTCCTGTTTTGATTTGCCTCCCCTTTTTCACTGTGTCTGGATTTATTCTGTGGTCTTCTCATAGCTAGAGAGGAAGTTGTTGTGGCTGAATACAATGCTAAGTATGAGTGATAGCCCACATGTTTAGACATTCTCAGGTAATTTGGGAAGATTAACAGGTCTGGGTTTTACCTGGTATGTGCTATGGAGAAAAATGTAGTGATTGTACTTCTCTCCTGAGCTTCAGAGGCTCTTTGGCAGCAGTATGACTACAATATTTAAAGAAGGATATGTGGAATAACTCTGCTCAGAGCCATATTCCCAATCAGAGCCCAACAGACTAATTTCTAGTTGTTTGGAGACCTCCAGCTAAGCAGTTGGTGAAATTGTCAACTTTAATCCATCTGTAAAATGGACTTCTTTAGATGTAACGCTTCTTAATATAGTCAGGATTTTT